GAATAATAATAATAGGCAACAAGGGACTCACTCTGGCTGGCAACGAACCATCCAGAAACCTGTTGCCCAACAAATATGCAGAAGAAAGTGATGGATTGGATTGGACCGGACATACACTGAGGAGACCGTTTGTGGATATCAGGCGCCAAGCCAGGCCCTCGAATAGAAGCTAAATGGGAATGGAAAAGTTGGGCGTCCAAGGGTGATCACATGGAGGAGATGGTGTGAGGAAGAAATGAAAGCTTATGGGCAATCGTGGAGCCAGTTTGAAGAGACTGTAAAAAACAGAGTGAAGTGGCAACGTGCCCGCGAAGCCCCAAGAGACTAATAATAATAATAAATTGAAAGTAAAATACTTAGACCAATGAATAATAACATCTTAACTCGAAAAAATGTAATTAACAAACAATAAAATACCAACAGCTTTAGAAAAGGAGTGATAATCTAGTCGAACTAAAATAATCTCAAGATACTACTGATAACAAGTTGTACGAGTAGATCAGTTTTGAACAAGACATTAAATTTAATCCAAGAATAATAATTACCTTATCAACTAAACGAGAGATATCAGTTTTTCTGTTAGAAAAATACGTGATACAAGCATCCTTAGGGTTTCATGGAATAGATATTCATTTGTACTCTCTCGTATGTGAATTTTTGACCTGGTAACTTAACTTTCCTCTTGTTTGACGACATCAACTGTTGACTAAACTTTTTTTCTATTGTTACATAATTTCGATGGTCTTTCCGGCATCTGAGTTCAACTGAATTATCACATAACTTGTCTGTTCTTTATCATCAACTGGCCGACTTATTAATTTTCTTGAGTAATCTTTCTATTACCATTTGTGTTCTTTCTCGAACCCACTGTTGAAATATATACATTATTGATGCTTCATAGCATGTCGTGTCAACTTTATCTGGATGTTTGTATTAGTTGTTAAGCCATGACGTTCCCTAGTGTTATGATACTTGTAATTCTCTGTCGCCATACAGGGCCAAATTACTCGACCTCTGTTGGCAGGTGGGCTCCTATGCGGATCCCTCGGTGCAGCTGAATATATCCAAGATGTTATATTGATTTTCATGACGAGCAGAAGATTCTGGGACGTATGTTTCATTTTATTTGAGACTAATCAGCCGGATGTACCTGCATCCCAGTGGGGAGTGATGTTGTTCCCCTGAGGTTCGAACCCAATACCCTTCGCTTCAGACGCCAGAGCATTATCTACTGTCGTTCCCCAGTGGCTTGGCGGGTAACGCCCTGGAGTTCGAAGCGAAGGGTACCGGGTTCGGGCCTAATCAGGAACAACATTAGGTACAGCAAGTACATCTAGCTGAGGGGTCCCGGATAGGGAATCTTATTTAACAGCTCCACAGTCATATACTTGAGTAAATTAAACACATTGTAATCTGTAAGGTCATCAAATCAATATAGAAGTAAAACGTAGGCAATGTGGTACAATGTAATACCATATTAGATTTGTTTATTTAAAATAGAAACCATAATGAGAAATGAGAACCCACGACACGAGAGTATGTGGTATAACGACAATTCCAAAGACCAGTGTACTTTATATGAGGGAAAGTTAGCTAGCCAGATTCAGCTGATCTGAACAAATTCGCTCTGAGACATGAATTTGTCTCGATACAACAAAAACGAACAAAACGGTCGTTCAGTGATTAGATTGTGCCTTTCTGGCTAGCAAAATCAACATACTACTGTCGATGGTTTTCAGTTACACATATTCGTCAGTAGCATATATCGAAGGAAGAGTTTGTTCCAAAGAACAAAGACACACACATTGACGATAAATATATGCAACCATTTTGTCTGAATTGAAAATAGTAGATTGATGACTAAGAAATGAAATTGAGCCAATAAACTATATCTACTGTATTTGTTGCCAGATGCATGTATGCAGCTGTCAAACACCTGTTAGTCAAGGTTTCGCTCCCGTTAGCATTCAACAGAATGTTGATGCATCCGCTTACCTGAAAACAATCTGCGCTACAAATGAATTACAGGTCTATTTGTAAAGTTCCAATGTATACAATAAAAGACCTAGATTAAGGATCTTAATACAAGAGCTCATTTAAAATTGATACGATGTTTACACATTCTGTTGTCTATAAAATAAAGAAGGAACGGGGTGGAAGGATAGTTCAGTTCACAATAAATTATATATCTCCATAGGATTGATAGATAGATAATCACATGTATCGGTAATAAACATACACAATTTCTCGACAAAACAGTCAATTTTCGATAACCGTAAGTCAATAATTCTGCCTAAATATTTATATGATAACGAAAATGATAGGTATAAGAGAAACAATATACTTTTTCAGATATTACACTAAGAATTATTTATTTACTTGCAAAATGCAGCAATAAAATGTCAACTGTCCTTTAAGTCAGAAATAACAATAATAAAAACAAATAAACGAATCAGTTATGAACCAGATAAGTAAAAATAATACATGTTAAAGATGTACTGGTAGATAACCAAGTTTCAAATGTACATCTTTGTAAAACGGTATTCAGCATGGTAATGAAATATATGTCACCTGAAACTTCACCAGGAAAATATAATGAAACTTCAGAGTTCAGGTGAGGAAAAAAAACTAATCTGAAAAAAATTGAAATATACAGGACAAGCAAGTTAACTGATGTGATTGTGAACCTTGGTCGACTGAAGTTGTTTGGAAATCTACTATCACATGGTGCGCCAACGACTACACAAACGTGTCAACCTAAGAGAGAAGCTAGATGAGACTGGAAGAGAATTTAGTGTAGGCAGAATAAGACCTGGCTCCAGTCGATGAAGTCTCTTAGTGTTAGTAAGAGCCGAGAAAGGAGGTGAAGACCATTTGGCTGGGAACCACAAGATGATAGGAATCAGTGGTTGGAGACTCTTGGTCAAAATGGCGAGGATAAATTCACTCTTTGACGTCTTACAAAGGTTCAATATTTGCACTAAGCTTTATTTTCAAATAGTTTATTCTCTCATACACATTTCTCTAATTTGACATCACTTTTTTTCTATCCACCTGTTCTTGGTATACTACTGTGAAGTTTGGCAACTTGGACAGATGTTCTTGTATGCAAGGTACTACGCTTACTTTGTCCACCTGTCTGTCTGTATGAAGTGTGCCAAATTAATCAGTTTAATACAATAAAGTCAGATGGCAATAACACTGATTATTACTCTTCATTTTTCCAAACAAATTAGAAGTTATTTTGAAGGCTCAGGCGGCATGTTTCGATCATGGGTTATCAAAAAATTTTCTACCGATTATATTCCATCACATTCTTCCCTTTCAGTTTGTTTTAATCTGTTAAATGTCTTCTAAATGCATCATGTACTCACGCATGTTTTTAAAATGTTTCCGAACTTTCATTTCTCAAACTAAGAAGAAAACAAAAGGAAAATGTTCTACCACCTGAAAATAGATTTGTAAATGCTCAAAAATACACCACAATATTATTCCTAGGATAGGTGTATGAGAATATGAATTTCTGTATTGGTTGACTGAACTGCCACCATCAAAATTACAATCGATTTTGCGTTAATCTTCAAATCGAGAACAGATGCTAAAGTAACACTAGCTGCCTGTTTCACACTTATGCCTTCAACACTGTGATTATTAACACTATGCAGACGCAATAATTACTTCTTTCAAAAACATTGTACGGTAAACGAATTTGTGAAAATGTCCCATGCTGAAAATTCTATACTATATCATACGTGTTATTTGGAATCATTACTATAATAATCATTATTAATACGGCGTATTGCATGAATGCTGCAACCTATTCACTGACTTGTGAAGCATACGTAGATATCATGTACAGTCATCGAGTAAATCGTACTTCCACTGTAGGATGTAGAAAACTGTAGGAACCTAAGTCAACACGCTCTTCAATAGCATCGAGAAAATTAGGAGGGATATAAGCGGAAAGGAGAAAAAGAAACCTATATTAATAAAAATTTGAAGAACTATACGAAAAAACAACCAATACAAGTGATTCATTGTGCAAGTCATACATGACACAGGTTGACAGTTAGCAACTTCATGAGATGACACAAGCTTCAACTGGTCACCCCCTCACCTTTTTGTGTTGATGTTACCACATGAATCACTGTACATATGTTTCGGGTGTCGACTGGTAAGGAGCAGGTACACAATCCCCTTTCAGTTGCAGTAACTGAACCCCGATCCAAACATTTTCACTGTCAGCTCTTCATACCTCCGTAACCAATCAAAAATGAAATATTGTAGAAGACTAAGAACGTGACTAGGTACCTGTAATCGACGTTATGCACAAGTCTTTCTTAATCCTATTGTTTCACAAATCAAACAAACAATTTTGTGCATCACTGTTTAGTCAGTTGCATGAAAACGATGACAGCAATAAATGGTAAGTTGATAGTTTAACTGGAAAGGAGCTATGTCTCTTCGGTTATGGGTTGGAACTCTTATCCGCCTACTTACGTTTGGGCACCCAGGTAGTAGCTCTCACATAACAGATGACTCACTGCCTACTGTGTGAATGTGCACAAGGTTGCTGAGTGCATTTTCTTCGAGTATTTGAAATAGTGACTTACAATAGAGAAACCTGACGTTTTGCTGGCAAACATTAGAGACCGAACTTCTGGAAAACAAATCTCACTTTTGTTTACTGAAAGATCAATCAAAGACTTATTCTTGTTACTACTGTTTTCATGTCTTATCGGATGAGAATAAGATCTGTCTGCACAGCTGGTTCAACTGACAAAGAAGAAAAGACAATTTCCTGTCTCTTATTCACATTAAGTACAAACAAAATACACAGTATGCCTAAAGTGAAATTATGACATCATTAGCTGTTTACTTCTCTGTAGAAAAGGTGCTTTCAGTCGTAAAAACAATCAGCATTAAGAAACCAGCGGTTAAATTATAGATTATAACAACATCGAAATGATAGCAAGTCAACACTAGAATATACTACTTACGTATCACGAAATTGTCGACTAAAGCGTGACGTTGTTTCAGGCGCTGATTTCTCTTCATTGTGCAGTCGTCTTGTATTGGCAGCATTATTACCGTCAGTATCATTACCATTATTATTTTTGTTATTACTACTAGAACTCTGTATAACTGTATTACAAATTCTATACAACTGTAATGCTAATCTTTGAGCAACTTTAGAGTCAGATAGACGAAATTTGAGAGTATACTGTTGTGGTGTATTGCTGTCATCTTTATGAGGTTGTAAATTAGTTGGCTGCATAGCTGTTTTCTTCTCTTTTACGATTCTTTTGGACTGCTTCCCTTTACCACTTACTGCATCAATGAAATCCACTAGTTTTTCTGCCTAAAATGAAGTAAGAATGACAAAATTGGAGGCTGTATCATTGACGTTAAAAGCACAGAGAGTAGGAAGTGATTGTAAAATAGAGTATGGCTATATAGAATGAAAGATATACCTGAAGCTATGACTAAGTGGTTTCGATATCGGGATCGAATGCCCCGATAAGTGCTACTCCATCCACCTTCTAGATAACCATTAGTCTGATCAGGCCGATACACAATAAAACTGAATATTATTATGAATAATGTAGGAGAGCATAAGTCTTTTGGTTGTTGTTTCTGCAAGCAAACCAAAATCTTTAATTGAAGAACATATCCGCGTGGTTGACAGTGACGCACATAAAGTCCCTTCACATCTACTTTCTAGTTTCATTACCATCCACCTTTTACGGCGGGGTATATGATTACTTTCATCGTACCCATTTATTGAATCTCCCCTCGGTATGTTAGTATGAAGTGTGGCTACCTACGAAATCCCACATAGATTATGTTCGTCTATCTGTACATCTTAACAGAGATAGCCAGTACAATACCAATACTACGGAATAAAAGGTTGGAAACACTTCAAGTCAGTGAGGCAATATAATAAAACAACCGATTACAGATAATTAGTATCTAAAATTATGAAATACGATGCTTTGCACAACAATATGATACGTGAAAATTCGCACAGTAATATGTTGTTTATGTACCTAACCCAGTTGAGATCCAAAGTGAGACAAAAAGTGCCTTGTGATCACAAAGCAGTTTCAAACACATCATATGATTACTACTCAAGACTTATGAGATAATAAATACACGATACACTTCATTTTGCATGGATGTGTGCAAGTATATGATTATATGAAAACATGATTAAATTATTGCGCCTGATGAGAAAACTTATTGTGTGAAATAACTAACACAACTCATAGCAGACACAGAACTGAGTAAGGCTGAAGGCCACTCTAGTGACTACTGTAGTGCATAATTGGGTTTTTTTTATTTCGCTTGGATAAGTAGTTTTTTTACATAAAAAAGGAAACCTAATTGGTTATAAAGTAGTTGCTTTTAGACTCCATCCAGAAATTAAGGCTAATCAAGCAGCAGTGCAAGAGTGAGATGCATTCCACACTACATAATTATAATTATTATGGGGGTGTTCCTCGATGATACTTATGAAAGAGATTGAAATTAAACCTAAGTAACTAACTCACTGGAGATTACGCCTGGATGTTTGAGCAATGTAACTGAGTAAGTTGATGAATTCTTAAGCATACACAGTGTATATGTGTGAGGGAGAATATGTCAACCACTCGACAAATTAACCAGTATTTTAGTTTCAACTTTCCACAAATGGCAGAAGAAGCCTCAGGACTGACCTCAAAGTATTCACCATAGATTTAAATCAGCTATAAAGCTATTCAAAACCAAGGGTAGCTGTTTTGTCTTCAAACAAGACTCTTCAGCCTTGGAAAACTCTTGACCATTTAGAAGATGTAACTCAGAAACTTCAAGTCTCCCAGAAATCATCTTATCGTCCAGTTGACTGAATGTAACATGCAACCCCAGTCGATAGTTGCCAACTTGATATGGTGGCCGGGCCTGTGTATCATAATGACCCAACCAAACACAATGGCTGAAACTCTTTTTTTTCAAAGTCCTGCTATTCCAGAAACGTCTGTTGGATAGTGGTTACACAAAACGAAGTTACCACGATGATGAAAACTGCTACACTATGAGGAGGTCCAGAGGCGAAGTCGTACTGCTGGCTCTATCAGGTGTGACAGCAGCGAAGTGTTTCCTTAGGCTTACCAGGAGTGCCACGCTGACGCAGCCTTCCTAATGTGAAGGGGAGGTTAGAAAAGGTTGGTTCCGTAAATAGCACTCTCTCCATTGTGTCACACGGTTTTCCGGTGCCGGTGGTATGGTTTTTCTCTATACAGCGTTAAAAAAACCAAACCTAAAAACAATAAACCGCAAATGCAATGAGTGATTGGCCCCAAGCAAATATCTCAAGGGCTCTGTGGTCACACAATTCTTTTTCTCTTTCAGGTGCCTAGGGAGAAATAGCTTTCAACGTTGTGTACAGTCGGGAAATGTCAATCGCCCGCACACTCCCAGTAGGATATAAGACCCAATTCGCAACTTCAATCAGTGTGCAATCCTTAGGAGTATCGAACGTGAAATACGCATGTCTAGTGTTTAGTAGATCCCAATAGTTCCTCTGCTTGATTTCAGTTTGTAACAGAAACTATCTGTGAAGAGTATCACAATGATAAGTGAGTGTGAACACCATTATCTAACTGTTCAACAAATAGGTTGTAGCAAATCAAATCTTCAAGCAACAAGTTCATCAAAAAAATTGAAGTAAAACTTTAAAAAAAACCCATCCATGAATAAAATCCAAAGTCTAGTTATCTATCTTATACGGGATTGTAGACGCGAAAGAAAGAAAATGAAAAACATAACACAAAGAAAGGCAAGAAGGGCAGTTAAATCATTCTCCTAAATTATGATAAACAATATTTCTCCTAAACAAAAGAGGAAGCAGAAAAAGGTATAATCAAGAAACAAAGACGAATGACACGGGAAAAAAGTGACATTTTATTATTTAAGGAGTGAAAGGGAAATGTACTTCATGCCACCAACACATCTCCATTGTCTCAAACATACAGTTTTACAATGATATTTGTTTATGCATATTAATATATGTATATATGCATATTTATATAATGTGATAATGTAAGGTAATAATCGATAAAAAATATCTTCATGTTCAGTTAGTTAGTCCATAGAGAGACAGACACACACACATAGAGGGAGAGATGGACAAACAGACAGCAGTAGAGAGACAACATTTGGTGTCTGGCGTATAAATCTGCCAAAATTTGTCATAGTTGCTTAAACAAAAAAGCTAAAATAGGGATTAGATTAATCATGTATATGTTGGTTATTCGCATGAAAAAATAGATTGAACGAATTGGAGATAAGGACTACCACAAGGGAGACAAAATGGCTGAGACTGACTAACTGATAAAACCAACGAAGAGCCTAGCACATAGGTGCGCCCGCCCAAGTTATCACAATTCTCAGTAGTACACAAAGAACAGGTGAATAGAAAAAGATATGTGAAACAAATTTGTTTCAGAGAATAAACAATTTGAAGATAAGGGTTGATACAAATATTTAAGCTTCAAAATATGTCAGGAAGTGAATGCAGCTGCACAACTGCAACTGATTTTCAGCCATATCACCAAAATTTCTCAACCACTGATTCCTTTCGTCTTAGAGACCCCAACCAGAAAGGTTAAATCTCCACAGACGACTCAAACTAACGGTGAGGGGCTTCATAGCATTGTGCGACATCTTGATTTAGCCACCCTGAACCCTCGTTTAGTCTAATTCAGTTTCCCTCGGCATGGCACATAGAGGTGTGCGACGGCTTGGCATGCTCAGTAAACGTCCAAGACACTTCAGTAGACTAAGGTTTACAACCTCCTCAATCAACTTATCCGTCTTGTCTAGTATCCTTAGTATGACCTCAACACTGCTCATATGATGATTCCACCGAGTCCGAGCAGTGCGAAGATACTTATGATCAGAACCCTGCAACCGCCTTATATCTTCAACTTTCAACGACCATGTTTCACAGACGTACAAAAGAATAGAACGGATTGCAGAACAGTATACTCGTCGTTTTATAAACAGTCGGCCAGCTCATAAGCTGGCACCACGGATGATGCTAGCTGGTAAATTCTAAACGAGCCTTCATTATCCGAGCTAAGACTTCGTCAGCAACCAGCCCATTCAGGTTGATACAACTCCCCAAGTAAGTGAAGTGGTCGATACATTCCACCACCTCACAACTTATTCTTAAACTAGGAATAATAGTACACAAGTGCTGGAGCACCATCCGACATTTGACAGGTGCGAAACGCATGCCAAAGATACTCAGACTTCTGCTCGACGCGTCCAGAAAATCCTGCATTTTGTCGCCATCTTCATCCAGCAGGATAATATCATTTGCTAAGACTGAGCAACATATTGTTCCCCAATAAGTGCATCAGCGTTTTACTCTACGTTTAGGATTACATTTACCTTCAGGTAATAACTGATGGTGATTTTTGCTAAACAGTGAACCTACTTGCAAAGATACTCGATAAACGATTGACGTAAACCAAAAATCACAACACAAGAGCGTAATGGGTCGTGATCTCGCAGGAAAACAAAACGCGGTAAAACTGATGTGAAACACAAATAAACATCAAAAGATGGAAGTAGAGAAAAAGCAATAGGACTGCATGAGATAGATGGATAGGCAAATGCAAGGTAAGACAAGTCAATCCAAGAAAAGCAAAAGAAAACTGGTGCGAAAAAATATGCAAAGAAGAAAATGCCAATAGTGACGTCAAAAGTATCAGACAAAAGGCGAAGGTAATAAAAAGGAAAACAAAATGTGTACAATTATATGTTTTAGAGTTTGATAATGACATTTCAGAGCCCCAACTAAACTCGTTGATTAACGATTCTCCTGATACACTTTACATTGCATACAGGAAGAATAAACTAAGTAACATACCTCCCCTCAACTTGCCAAAAGGCACCCAGCTCCAGACTAATCAAACTGGAAAAGCGGTACCAATTAGGATTACACTTAACCAGAGTCATGCGTTCAGAAAAAGCGGGTGCTGACCGCACAACTATCTTGGCCTCATTTGGAATACACAAATTCCTTAGCATCCTAGCCTATGAAATCCAATTTTCGAAGTTCACAAGCTGAGAAACATTCTATCAAGTTGTTATTCTGCAAATTAGCTTTTCTTTTTTTGGTTTGTTTTATGCAACTCTCATAAACACCTACCCTTCTATTGTTTTATTAAACTATCACCTTATAGTATTGCATAACCTTCATAATTCTTTAGATAATCAGTTATTTCGAATTGAATTCCAGCCCTAACTGATTCTGATATTAACAACCATACAAGACATTTCTGAATTGACTTCCTCAAATGGATAATATCA